GAGACAGAGTCTTGCTCTGTCACCCAAGCTGGAGTGCAGTGGCAAAATCTCGACTCACTGCAACCTCTGCCCCCCGGGTTCAAGTGATTATCCTGCCTCAGCCTCCCGAGTAGCTGGGACTACAGGCACATGCCACCACTTCCAGCTAATTTTTTTGTATTTTTAGTAGAGACAGGGTTTCACCATGTTGGCCAGGCTGGTCTTGAACTCCTGATCTCAGATGATCTGCCCACCTTAGCCTCCCAAAGTAATTATAGGCATGAGCCACTGTACCCAGCCTAGTAATTTTATCTTGTAAATATGTAAAGTTTAATTTTCAAATCTAATTAAGTACATTTTCCACTCCACTCTAATATAATTTAATGTATCTTTGAATATAAGGAGTAAAGTATGGCATAGGTAGTCAAGAAGAGTTTGAATGTTTGTTTGTAAAATTTATTTGTATAAATCCATATGCAAGAATGCCATAAAAAGGATTCCTGAGTCGGGGGTAGTTGAATGTCTTGGTGATCTACAAGATTTGGAGATTCTAGGATCTTACAATGAATTAAAAATGAGAGCTAGACATGGTGACTCATGCCTGTAATCCCAGCACCTTGGAAGGCTGAGGCAGGAGGACTGCTTGAGCCCAGGAGTTTGAGGATGCAGTGAGCTATGATCATTCCACTGCACTTCCACCCAGCAACAGAGAGACCTTGTCTCTTAAAAAAAAAAAAAAAAGATGGTAGCGGGGTGGGTAGGGATTAATAGTAGATATAGTGGACGTTAGAATCAATTTGGGGAAGAAACTTGATTTGATATTATCTGTTCATTTTTGAGGATACCCTGATGAGCAAAGTTACAGTCCATCAGCTTAGAAAAAAGAGAAGTTACCTTTGAGGGAAAAGGAGGAGATGTTGAAAAGAAAAAGAGAAGGAAGTTGATTTGGGAAGAAGCAAAAGGAGTTTCATTTTTTGTAAAGCAAAAGAAATAGGAAGCGGCTCTTCAATGTTGTCTTCTGAAAGTCAACACTGTGACTGAACTTCTGAATATTTTGTCTCTGTGAATATACTGACACCATGGCTACTTAGACAGATTTATCTTTTTCCTTGTTTGTTGAAAAAAAAAAAGTACGCTCCAGTGTTCTCTTGTTTTGGTAATGGTTTAAAGTGAGCAAAGAAGAAAGCAAAAAAGATCTTCAAACATACTTTATTATTTTACCATAAGCTAATAGAGATCGGGGAAGCAGGCTGGGTAACAATATAGTGAGACCTCAGCTGTTAAAAACAGACAGACAAACAACTTAGCCAGGAGGTGGTGGTGGGTGCCTATAGTCCCAGCTACTTGGGAGGCTAAAGTGGGAGGATTGCTTGAACCCAGGAGGTTCATGATCAGGCCACTGCACCAAAAACAAACAACAACAACAACAACAACACCACAAAAAACCTGGGTTTGGGAAGGTTGTAGCAGCAGCAGCAATAAAAGAAAGTTGAGTTAATAAATTTAGTATTTCTCTTTTCTATATTCTCAATGTCTGGCTTTTCACCGTATCTCCTGGATCTTTTCATTTTTATTATTTTTTTAAGACAGAGTCTTGCTCTGTTGCCCAGGCTGGAGTGCAGTGGTGCAATCACAGCTCATTGCATCCTCAACCTTCTGGGCTCAAGCAATTCTCCTACCTCAGCCTCCTAAGTAGCTGGGACTACAGATGCATGCCACCATGCTTGGCTAATTTTTAAAAAACTTCTTGGCCAGGTGTGGTGGCTCACACCTGTAATACCAGCACTTTGGGAGGTCGAAGCAGGTGGATTGCTTGAGCCCAGGAGCTCAAGGTCAGCCTAAGCAATATAGTAAAACCCTGTCACTACAAAAATTTAAAAAAAAATAGTGAGCATGGTGGCGCCTGTCTGCAGTCCCAGCTACTTGGGAGGCTGCGGTGGGAGGATGATCGCTTCAGCTCAGGAGGCGAAGGTTGTAGTGAGCCAAGGTTGCACCACTGTACTCAAGCCTGGGCAACACAGCAAGACCCTGCTGTCTCTACAAAAAAAAGTCTACCAAAAAATTTTTTTTTGTAGAGATGGGGTCTCACTTTGTTGCCCAGGCTCGTCTCAAACTCCTGGGCTCAAGAGATCCTCCCACCTTGGCCTCTCAAAGTTAGGGGAATACAGGCATGAACCACCATGTCCAGCCTCCTGGAGCTTTTTATTGAGAGATTAACATGATTTATACAAGAGTTGTCAGTATTCTTTTAGGAAGAGAAGTCTTTCTTTTTTTTTTTTGAGCCATTGTGCCTGGCCGAGCTCTCACTTTTTAAATGAGGAGCTTTCCTACTTTGACCTAGTCAAAATATAGAGAAAAGATGACTATCAGAATTATTTCCCCTTCTAAACTATTCTATCCCAGCTGGGCACGCTGGCTCATGCCTGTAATCCCAGCACTTTGGGAGGCTGAGGTGGGCGGATCACTTGAGGTCAGGAGTTCGAGACCAGCCTGGCCAACATGGTGAAACCCTGTCTCTACTAAACATACAGAAATTAGCCAGGCGTCATGGTGTGCACCTGTAGTCCCAGCTACTCAGGAGGCTGAGGCCGGAGAATTGCTTGAACCCAGCATGCAGAAGTTGCAGTGACCTGAGACTATGCCACTACACTCCAGCCCGGGTGACAGCATGAGACTCTGTCTCAAAAAAATAAACTAGCCTACATCTTTCACTGCACTGTTATTGTATCAGTTTTATTTTTGCCCTATACTTATGTTGTAAAATGTAATCATGACAAGTATTAGATTGCTAATGGATAGGTTTTCCTTTTGATAGGGCAGTGACAAAGAATGGAGAAGTGTTTCTATGTGTCTTGGTTTAAATTGCTAATTAAATTAATAATTGCTGCTTGTAAGCTCAACAGATTGGTCATAAGAGTTTGGTCTGTTATTCAGTTTCTGGGTTACAAAGGTAGGCTTTGTCTCAATTTTTTCTGTTTTTCTTTCTTTTTTTTCTTGAAACAGGGTCTCACTCTGTCACCCACACTGGAGTGCAGTGGCTTGAACATGGCTTACTGCAGCCTTAACCTCCTGGGCTCAAGTGATCCTCCTGCCTCAGCCTCCAGAGTAGCTGGGACCACAGGTGCATGCCACCATGCCCAGCTAATTTTTGTGCTTTTTGTAGAGAATGGATCTCGCCATGTTGCCCAAGCTGGTCTTGAACTCTTGGGCTCAAGTGATCTGCCCACCTCGGCTTCCCAAAGTGCTGGGAATACAGGCATGAGCCACCTCGCCCAGCCTGATTGTTTTCTTAATATGTCGTTTTCTGGATATTGATATTGATATCAATATGCAACAACAAATATAAAGGACATATTTGGCTAATTTGGAACAACATAAACATATTTCAAAAATTATAAATTTGAAAATTTACTATAAGTCACAACTAAATTACTTTCCAGTTGTATGTTTAAAAGCAAAAAGTAGAAATCTGATGTAATGTAATGATATGAAATTCTCATTCAATAGATTGAGGACATAAACAATACGGGAACTGAATCAGCATCAGAGGTAAACAGACATTTCCTTTAATGAAACATTCACCTAAAATTATCTGATTCACAAATTATCTTTTAGTATAAGAAAAAATTAAAAGGGCTTTTATTATTTTTATTATAAATATAGAAATAACAAAAAAGTATGTTTTGCAAAGCAAGAGCATACTTTTGCACTTTCAAACACTATAGCTTAGTGTTTCAAAGAAAAGTATGTTTTGTTTTGCTTTCATAGTTAGGTTAGAAAGACAAACTTATTAGTCTCAGTTTGAGATACTCTGCCAAGACAATGTATTTTTTGAACTGTTACTAACAGCTGAGATTACTGAACGCTAACATTTATAAAAAGGCAATTTTATTTTCATCATTTGTCTTCTTTCCTCAGAGTTCCTGAGAGTTTATGTTTTGGTTTTTATATAATAGTATAGAGTGCAGTATCTGTTACCATGAAGAAATGTTCAACAACCACAAAAATTTTAGTCATCCCTTTCATCTAACAGAATAAGTTAAAAATCTTTCAATTTGATGGTGTGCCTAAAACTACAGCCCATAAATTGGGAGCAATTTTATCTCAGGACCATGTGTTTCATTTCATAACTCTTCTTAGTTTTTAAAAAAGTCAGAGGCAACAATAGGTTATATGATTAAAATGAATTAAATAATAGTTTAATACAATCAAATACCAGAGAGTTTTATCTATAATATATATGTTTAATAAATCACTTGGAAAAACTGTGTTTTTTTCTCACTAAATACTAGTTTCATTCAGTATTTAAAAGCTTAGAGATAAAAATCATATGAAGAAATTTTTTTTGTTTAAACTGAATCTGTCCACCATCAAATTGATTTACAGTACATTCACATGCACATTTTGTGGATTAGTGCACAAATAGCTTAATTCAGGCAATGCCACTGCAGTTTCATTATCTTAACAGCTGTATTAACTCCATCTTCTAGGAAATAGAATGCTTCTTGAACCTCATCAGCAATGGATTTCACTAAGATTAACTCACAATGCACAAAGAATTTAGAGTAGGAGATGTTTAATAATAATCTGTAAAAAGTAATTGTTTGTTCTTCATAATAACATTGATGACAATGTAATGGAATTCACTTATTATGGAGGTAAAGTCCCATGAAACCCAATTTTGATTAAGAAGAAATATGCTAATTATTCATTTTATAAAACAGGAAGGAGATGATTCACTACTTATAACTGTGGTACCTGTTAAATCATATAAAACATCTGGAAAAATGAAAAAGAATTTTGAGGATCTAGAAAAAGAACGTGAAGAGAAAGAAAGGATCAAGTATGAGGAAGATAAAAGAGTAAGATATGATGAACAACGACGATCTCTCAAGGAAGCAAAGTGTCTTTCATTAGTTATGGTAAGTTTTTTTTGTTTGTTTTTTAAGAAACCAATCAAGGCAGTTTAAGTTAGCATTTTCCTTTATGAATAAAAGGTGGGTTTTCATAATGTTTTCTTAGGATGATGAACTAGAAAGTGAAGCAAAAAAAGAATCACTTTCTCCTGGAAAATTGAAACTAACTTTTGAAGAACTGGAGCGACAAAGACAAGAAAACCGAAAGAAGCAAGCTGAAGAGGAAGCAAGGAAACGTTTAGAAGAAGAGAAGCGTGCTTTTGAAGAAGCAAGGCGGCAAATGGTAAATCTACATATTTAAACCTTACAATTAATATTAATGAAGTTAGCTGGCTTTAGATAAGGTTCATTACTATAAATTCAAAGAGATTTTACATATAGAAGGGCTGATTTTCCAGTTGTATAGATATTCCATATATAAAATGTGTCTAGGCCAGGCATGGTGGCTCACGCCTGTAATTCCCAGCACTTTGGGAGGCCAAGGTGGGTAGATCACCTGAGGTTGGGAGTTTGAAACCAGCCTGGGCAACATTGTGAAATCCCATCTCTACTAAAAATACAAAAATTAGCTGACTGTGGTGGCGCACACCTGTAATCCCAGCTACTTGGGAGGCTAAGGCACAAGAATCACTTGAACCCAGGCAGTGGAGGTTGCAGTGAGCCAAGATTGCACCATTGTACTCCAGCCTGGATAACAAAGTGAGACTGTCTCAAAAACAAAATCCATACTGTTTTCCAGTTTCCACTCTGGGGCATTTTACCCAATATGCTTTAAATTTTTATTTTTATAAATTGTTATTAATATATAAGTATGCAAAATAATTACTCAATGAACGTAGTTTCCTTCATCTGTTAGTTCAATCTGCAATGTACTTAGTGACATGGGTGCAGGACTGATTATAAGTGTAAACTTGTCCTCAGCAGTCCAGTTTTTCAAGTGTTTGAACATATCAGAATAATAGTTTACAGTGGAATATGCAGTTTGCCCTATTAAGTGTATGTGTGTGTGTATTTGTGTGCATGCCTCTGTGTGTGTGTGTGTGTGTGTGTGTGTGTAGTGTGGTGGTTAAGAGCATGGATTGTGGAGCCGGATTGTCTAGATTCAGATATCAGCCATTTACTAACTGTGTAACCATGGACAACTGTTTTAATCTCTCGCTGTGTTAATTAATTAAATCTCTCTCTTAGTTTCTTGATTTTTTTTTGTTTTTTTATTTTTCCATTACACTCCACTCTGTCGCCCAGGGTGGAGTGTAATGGCCGGATCTCAGCTCACTGCAAGCTCCGCCTCCCGGGTTTAGGCCATTCTCCTGCCTCAGCCTCCCGAGTAGCTGGGACTACAGGCGCCCACCACCTCGCCCGGCTAGTTTTTTGTATTTTTTTAGTAGAGACGGAGTTTCACCGTGTTAGCTAGGATGCTCTTGATCTCCTGACCTCGTGATCCGCCGGTCTCGGCCTCCCAAAGTGCTGGGATTACAGGCTTGAGCCACCGCGCCCGGCCAGTTTCTTGATTTTTAAAACAGTAAAAATGAGAGCGCTTTCTTTTTTTTTTTTAACTTCCACAATGACTTGGATTTTTTTAAATGCCTATTTCTTAAATGGTTAAATGAGTTAATATCTAGGAAGCACTTAAGATGGTGTTTGTTACATATACAGTAGTTCTTCGAAAATGTTAAGTATTATTATGGTATTAATAGATTTATCAATAAAAAGTAAAATTGAAATAAGAATACACTGATTCATTTTAAGATTTAAAAATGGGCCAGGCATGGTGGCTCATGCCTGTAATCTCAGCACTTTGGGAGGCTGAGGCAGGCAGATCCCTTGAGCCCAGGAGTTTGAGACCAGCCTGAGCAACATGTGGAAACCATGTTTCTACAAAAACAAATACAAAAATTAGTCAGGTGTGGTGGCACAGACCTGTAGTCCAAGCTCCCCAGGTGCTGAGGTGAGAAGATTGCTTGAGCCTGGGAAATCAAGGCTACGGTGAACTATGAATGAGCCACTGGATTCCAGCCTGGGTGACAGAGTGAGACCTTGTCTCAAAAAAAAAAAAGGATCTAAAAATGGAATATTTGTAATTTTAAAGTTACAGAAATTTCTTGATCAGCTTGCTTGAATGATGTTCTAGTAATTATATATATAAAAATTTAATTTTCTAGACATTTATTTGAAAATGTTATTACTCTTGGGTATAGCTGCATAGTATCTACACATTTTAGATATTTCTGGTGGTCAACTTAATAAAGAAATAGTATTATTAAATAATGCATTTCAATGGATATTATAGTAAATTTAATAATAAATTAAAACTTTAATGATAAAATCATAAAGCTGGAATTTTATATAAAATAGTTCTAGATAATAATCTTTTATCTGGTTAATATAAGGCACCATAGTTCACAGTAAAAAAAAAAACTACAAAGATTACAAAATGGGAACCTTATTTTACTACCAAAGAGATGCTGTGTAGATATACTTGAACCCCAATGATAGCACACACATACACATTTTATATTTGTTCTGGGAAAGTTAATACTCAACAGTAACCCCTCACTGAAGCCTCAACCTACTGGGCCCAAGGGATCCTCCCACCTCAGCTTCTCGAGTAGCTGGGACTACGGGCACACACCACCACAATGGCTATAATGTGTTTTTTGGTTTTTAGTAGAGACGAGGTCTTGCTCTGTTGCCCAGGCTGGTCTTGAACTCCTGGGCTCAAGCGATCCTCCTGCCTCCTAAAGTTCTGGAATTACAGGCGTGAGCCGCCACAACACCTGGCTAAAAATGTTTTAATATTCAAATTTATCTATAGAAATTTGACTTTCTTGAGAAGTTTTATTTCACCTGAGTACATCTTTATATGGAATTTCTCCAAACTTGAATATTTTATCATATAAGACATTAAAAAGGAAGAGGATTTTGGTCAAGTATATTAAGGGCATTCAAACAGTCCTATGTGAAGTGGCTAATTCTGTGCCTTTTGTTTGATAATTCATTCCTTTTTCTGATGAATCTCAATTCTTAGTAATGAACTGTTTATTTTGTTAGGTAAATGAAGAAGAGGAAAACCAAGACACAGCAAAAATTTTTAAAGGGTACCGCCCTGGTAAACTCAAACTCAGTTTTGAAGAAATAGAAAGGCAAAGAAGAGAAGATGAAAAAAGGAAAGCAGAAGAAGAAGCCAGAAGGAGAATAGAGGAAGAAAAGAAGGCATTTGCTGAAGCAAGGAGAAACATGGTAAGACAGAAGCTAACTGGAGAATGCTATTAGAATTCACCTTTGAGAATATATTAATAGAATCATTAGACTTTAGAGAATACCCTATTATTTCTGGAATCTGTGCCAAGAGTAGAAATGGCAAATGTATTTTGAAGTCTCCCAACTGGTGGAATAACACCAGTTGATTGAAGGTATTTGCTTCAGTTTAGTGTTCAGAAGATTCTGATTTAAATTGCCACACTTGGCACAAAGGATGGAATATTATTTCCCTTCTCTGGGAAAACATGTTTTCCAGAACTAAGTATCCAAGGAAGAAGAAGAAGTAGGGAGTTTCCTCCCCTAACTTTTCCTTTCTTCCTCTCCATTCTTTCCCCACCTCCTTCCCACACTCCCTTTTCCCCTCCTTCATTCCTTTATTTCCTTCCTTTCCTTCTTTATTTTCAGTTTTCATCCCACCCACTATATATTAAATGACCTGAGTCATTTAATCAGAATTATTTCTCTCTCCAAAATGCTCACTCATCACTCCTGGAAATTGATACCTAACTTAACTGTCACAAGGTTATGACTGTACTTCCTATACCAGTTTTATGTTTGTGCAATATACAGTTATCTGACAAACAATTTTCAAGCAATTTGAGACTTGAGCCCTGCATCTCCTTCTTGATACATTGTAATTGGCTTTGGTGATATCATAAGCTGGTTTTCTTCCTCAATATGGGTGAGCATCAGACACGTATGTCCAAGTGTTTATTTGGCTTTATCGCCCACACAGATACTCAAATCAGAAACTTGGAAGCCTGAAACACTTCTATCTTCTTATTCATGCCTGACGTCCAACCAGTCACTAAGTCTCATTTATTCTGCCTCCTAAATCACTCTAAAATCTGTCAGTTTCCCCCCCATTTTCCACTGCCACTACTATAATCCAAGTTACTGTTACAATTTGCCTGGGACCAACTCCTAATTAACTTGTTATCTTACCTGTAACCTATTCTTTCCTGCAAAGCCAGGAGTGATCTTTAAAAAGAAATTTTGATTGTGTTTTGTTACAGTTTTGCTTAATATTTTCACACTTTTCTTTAGTAAAAATCCAAAAACTTCTAAAACAAATTTCTTTATAGTCTTGCTCTTGTATATTGCTCCCGTTTCATTTCTTGATCCTTCCTTAATCTGCTCTTTGTTCCAAATATGCTAAATTTGTTTGTATTTCTTCAAAGTGAGACTCTCTCAGCCTTCACACTGTCTGAAAGATGTCCCTCACTCCTTTCCCTGTGCTCTGCTAATTCCAATTCATAACTTTCCATTTCCTCTGGAAAGCCTTTCCTGATAATAAACACCTTCTTCCATGAATTCTTACAGCATTTAGTACTCTTCTATCGTAGCGCTAATCCTGTATTGTTATCACTTATGGCTGTCTTTTCCACTCCATGAGGCCAAGACTGTTCATCAAACATGTGGCACAATGCCTAGTATAACAGACCTCCAGTAAATGTTGATGGAACAAGTGATATTGAAATCTTGCATGCAGTAGGTAATCCCTGATTCATAAATGGTTTCTACATAGAAATCCTACAGACGTTGTAAATGCACTTAATTGTTGGAGAATAAGCAGGTTTAGAAGCGGTAGAAGAGAAGTAACTGTGAAGATTACAAGACCTAGTCCTCGGGGCAGATTTGTAGGCCAAAACTGCCTTTTTACCATGATTCACTAGTGGAAAAAAATACAGGGGAGAAAACTGCGTTAAAACAAAACCAAGTTTCCTAAACACATTTCTAAAGAGAAAGAAAAACTTCCTTTTACATTTATATTGTTTTCTTATCCACAAATAAGTATTGTAATTTATCCAGGAGTAAGTATTGTGATTTCATACTATAGCTTAGTTCATGCATATATAAAATTTAAAAATTTCAGGCAGTCTTTGAATTGTAAACCACTTAAACATTGTTTCTGAGTTGAAATAGTTCTGTGGTAAAGCCTGGATTGCCTTGATAAAACTTGGAGCAAATGAATAATACCCCTTGTCTCATTCTCCTATGTCTATTTCAACCACAGGGTCACAGTTCAGGCCAGAGGGTTATGTTATACCATGCCTGGTCTATAAACTTTTTTTTTTTTTTTTTTTTTTTTTTTTGAGATGGAGTCTCGCTCTGTCACCCAGGCTGGAGTGCAATGGTGTGATCTCGGCTCACTGCAACTTCCACCTCCCAGGTTCAAGTGATTCTCCTGCCTTAGCCTCCCCAGTAGCTGGGATTACAGGCACCCACCACCACACCCGGCTAATTTTTGTATTTTTAGTAGAGACAGGGTTTCACCATGTTGGTCAGGCTGGTCTCGAACTCCTGACTTCATGATCCACCTGCCTTGGCCTTGCAAAGTGCTGGGATTACAGGCGTGAGCCACTGTGCCTGGCCTATAATCTTATTAGAAAGATTTTGAAGTTTGAATCCCAGCTTTGCCACATAGCATTTGTGTTGACTTTAGACAATTACTTTTCAGTGCCTCAGTTTCCTTGTCTGTAAAATGAGGATATTGGTAACTACTTCATAGGGTTATAGGATTAAATAAATTAATATATGTAAAGTGCTTATAACTGTACTTGGCAGCTCTCAGTATTATCTATTATTATTTCTTTAAAATTAGCCCAACAGCAAATAAACAATAAACTCATAGCACTAAGAATGATTTTTGCCTGATTATGAAGAGATCATGACTGGTTATCTAATTCATTCAGACAAAATCATGATTAACTTAAATGCTTTAATTACCAAAATGGAGAGCCATTTTAATCCAATTAAAAATGTTCTCAAATTAGGAAATCTTAATGTCTAATTCAAAGTACTCATGATATGAATAAAGTATTTTTTGTCTTCATTGTGATAGAGAATAGATGGTTACCATTTCCTGGTAACCTGATAGTTAAAAAATACCTCAGTCTTACATTTTCCAATAATTCTTCCCATTTATTTATTTATTTATTTATTTTTGAACACTGTGTTGAGAATTCCTTGTTTGCTGTTAAGTCCCCTTGTTTTTTGTTCAGTGTGAAACCTGTTTAAGAAATCTGGCTGGGCATGGTGGCTCACGCCTGTAATCCCAGCACTTTTGGAGGCCAAGGCGGGCAGATCACCTCAGGTCAGGAGTTCAAGACCAGCCTGACCAACATGGAGAAACCCTGTCTCTACTAAAAATACAAAATTAGCCAGGCGTGGTGGCGCATGCCTGTAATCCCAGCTACTCGGGAGGCTGAAGCAGGAGAACTGCTTGAATCTGGGAGGCGGAGGTTGCGGTGAGCCAAGATTGCACCATTGCACTCCAGCCTGGGCAATAAGATTGAAACTCTGTCTCAAAAAACAAAAACCAAAATTAAAAACAAACAGTAAAGAAATCCCAGTTTCTTCAAGAAATAGTCCCTTTTTAGTGTGTATAATTCTGGCCAGAGTGATAAAAGAATTATTTTAAATAGGTAGTAGATGATGACTCCCCAGAGATGTATAAGACAGTCTCTCAAGAATCTCTTACACCGGGAAAACTGGAAATTAATTTTGAAGAATTATTAAAACAAAAAATGGAAGAAGAAAAGCGACGAACAGAGGAAGAACGGAAGCATAAGCTAGAAATGGAGAAACAAGAATTTGAACAACTGAGACAGGAAATGGGAGAGGTAAGATTTTAAGAAATATCTATTTATATTACCCATATTTATTAGCTAAATATTTTACTTATATCACCTTATAATAACTTTGTATTATTATTCACCTTTACGATAGTCGGCATACTACTATGAGGTGCTTACATAGTACAGGTGTCTGCACAATTATGTGTACTTTCTAGTCTGCTTTAACTACTCCTTCCTTGCCAGTTTAATAAAAAAGTATCGAGGTTTGCAAGGGACTGAGCTATTACTATTTATTTATATTTATAGTTCATAAATATGCGTATTTATATTCAATACATATATGTAGACTATACAGTGCCAGCTTCATGGGCATGCACCTTGTGCACTCACAAGACTCCATGTTCAGAAGGCCCTGCATTTGGGGTTTAATGTTGAGGTTGCTGTCTTGAAATTCTTTTTTGTGGTGTGAACATGGCTCACTGCAGCATTGACCTCCTGTGCTCAAGTGATCCTCATGTCTCAGCCTTCTGTGTAGCTGGGACTTTAGGTGCACGCAGCACCATGTCTGGCTAATTTTTAATTTTTTTTTCTTTTTTTGAGATGGAGTCTTGCTCTGTCGACCAGGTTGGAGTGCAATGGCACGATCTCAGTTCATTGCAACCTCCACCTCCCAGGTTCAAGCAATTCTCCTGCCTCAGCCTCCCGAGTGGCTGGGATTACAGGCATGTGCCACGATGCCTGGCTAATTTTTGCATTTTTAGTAGAGACGGGTTTCACCATGTTGGCCAGGCTGATCTCGAACTCCTGACTTCAGGTGATCCGCCCACCTTGGCCTCCCAAAGTGCTGGGATTACAGGTGTGAGCCACTGTGCCCAGCACTTTTTTGTTTTTTGGTTTTTTTTTTGAGACGGAGGCTCGCTCTGTCGCCCGGGCTGGAGTGTAGTGGCACGATCTTGGCTCACTGCAAGCTCCGCCTCCCGGGCTCACGCCATTCTCCTGCCTCAGCCTCTGGAGTAGCTGGGACTACAGGCGCCTGCCACCAGGCCCGGCTAATTTTTTGTAATTTTTGGTAGAGATGGTGTTTCACCGTGTTAGCCAGGATGGTCTCCATCTCCTGACCTCGTGATCCACCCGCCTCAGCTTCCCAAAGTGCTGGGATTACAGGCGTGAGCCACCGCGCCGGGCCTTTTTTTTTTTCTCTAAAGATGGGGTGATCGCACTTTGTTGTCCAGGCTGGTCTCCAACTCCTGGCAAGCGATCCTCCCACCTGAGCCTCCCACAGTTCTGGGATTACAGCCATTAGCCATCATGCCCAGCCACTGTCTTGAAATTCTTAATTTTACCTTTGAATTTGTGTGTTGTATATAAGTGAAAGCTGATTGGACGATGAAGCATGCCCTTTATAGCTTTTGCTTACTAGGGCTTCACGCCGCCTTCCTGCCTCCCTGGAATGGGTTTTCATCAGCCCCCTTCCCAAGGCCCTGCCTAACCTTCTTCCCTCTTGGGACTCCGCTGCTATCCCTCTGGGTGGCCCGGGTTGCGTGGGCAGCAGAAGAGAAAGGTAGAATTGGGGCCTGTATTCAGCATCAGCCTTGGTCCCTGCCAGGGACCAGGACACACACATGAACAGGGTCGGGGTCTAACATGTAGCCTCATGACTTGGACTGGCAATGGTATGGCATGTTTGGCAGGCACCTTGGTGGGGTCCTCTCACCAACTTATGACCTAGGAACCGAGTGAGTTCCTACACGGAGGTTGCAATCTCTTGGAAGTTGCCCGTTTTTTTATGGGTTGGGGCAGTGGGCACGTAGGAAGGGAAGTTTTACTTCTCTGCACCAGGTGTGGCTGGCAAATTATCTAGCGGACCCTGAGAATATAAATATAAATGTATAAATAAATACCAGGAATGTGCTGTAGGAAAATATTCCAAGGTCTAGGTTTCTTATGAGTCGTGTATTTTCACCCCACATAGTCTAAAAAGTGGAAATAGTATAAAGGAACGTTTTCTCTTACCCCTTGGTTAAGAAATTAAGCTTCATGTCATAACATCCCAGACTGTGACACCCTCTGCCTCTACCTTTTAAAACTCTCCCTAGAACTTTAGGTTTTCTCCAGGAAAAGTATACCAGGAATACCTGTAGTATTTTACCATTCCATATGTTGGTATTAGGGTTTGATAAATATTACAAAGGACTAGTAATAATAAATTGTGAAAAGTCAGGGGAAAGAAATCTGAACAAAAGAACAAGATGGGCCGGGCATGGTGGCTCACGCCTGTAATCCCAGCACGTTGGGAGGCTGAGGTGGGTAGATCACGAGGTCAGGAGATCGAGACCATCCCGGCTAACATGGTAAAACCCCGTCTCAATTAAAAAAATACAAAAAATTAGCTGGGCCTGGTGGCAGACGCCTGTGGTCTCAGCTTTTCGGGAGGCTGAGGCAGGAGAATGGTGTGAACCTGGGAGGCGGAACTTGCAGTAAGCCGAGATTGCGCCACTGCACTCCAGCCTCGGTCTCCCAAAGTGCTGGGATTACAGGCGTGAGCCACTGCACCTGGCTTACTGTTCTTTCAATTATTTTTTTGGCTTCCCCTAACAAAGACCTTCCTGCAACTCCTAGGAAAAGCTAATTTTGTCATGAATATTTTAGTTTTAGCAGGTTATCAAGGGATGTCAGAGGATTTTAACCATATTCCCTGATGCGAATAGTATTTTAAGTAGAATGTTTTCAATAATGCCTTGAATTTGTAGCACCATTTTGAGTTAGTAAATTTGGACACTGCATTTAGAGAAGAGGTTAAGCTGTATTTTTGGTTTCAAATAAGAAATAGTACACTTTTTTTGGATGGTTTATTGTAGTATGCTGATATTCAATTTTTTTTTTTTTTTCTGGAGTCACGCATGGTGGCATGTGCCTGTAGTCCCAGCTCCTTGGGAAGCTGAGGCAGGAGGATTGCTTAAACACAGGAATTCAAGGCCAGCCTGGGCAACATAATGAGACTAAAACGGCAGCAAAAAACTTATTATTTTTTTTTTTTTGAAGGAAGAGGAAGAAAATGAAACATTTGGATTGAGCAGAGAATATGAAGAACTGATCAAATTAAAAAGGAGTGGCTCTATTCAAGCTAAAAACCTAAAAAGCAAGTTTGAAAAAATTGGACAGTTGTCTGAAAAAGAAATACAGAAAAAAATAGAAGAAGAGCGAGCAAGAAGGAAAGCAATTGACCTTGAAATTAAAGAGCGAGAAGCAGAAAATTTTCATGAGGTATATTATCCTTATATTTAACATAGTTATGATACAGTAATAATTAAATTTAACAGAAGTAACACTGGCTTTGAAATAAGTTTTAGTACTTAAAATTAATCATTGGTGTATACAGTAATCTGGGAAGTAAATAGCAAAAACACATGTAGATCTTAGACTTTGAAAGACTAGCATTGTTTCAAAATCACCTTTATCAGTGTTAAAACCTGTAGTGAATGTCAAATGGTTCACGCTAGCAAAAATGTTCAGAAGTATTTTTTGGCTGGGCGTGGTGGCTCATGCCTATAATCCCAGCACTCTGGGAGGCCAAGAAGGGAGGATCACATGATTCAGGAGTTCTAGGCTAGCCTGGGCAACATAGTGAAACCCCATCTCTACAAAAAAATTGTACAACTAAAATAATATTTTTTGGCATATGTTTTAGTTGAGTCAGTAGAACTAGTGTATATTCAAGTTAAACTCCATATTATTAATACTTTATTTTTTAGATGAAACCCATAAAGTCTAATACTTGCTCAAAGTTACAGCAGTAATTCAGTGTGGAAGAGCCTAAATGAGAATTCTGATGACATGAATTTGAATTACCTTCAAACATAAAATAAAGAGGCAATCACTGACCTGTAATAGCCCTTCTAGCTTAAGGACTATTTCTGTGATTATGAATACTGGTTTAAATGAGATCTAGAAATTTTTTTTCTGCCAGCATTCCTATCCTATAATGTTTAACAGAATTTAACCTATATTCTAGAAATATATTTTGATCAAGCATTTAGCTAGCAAAACAGATATGGGAATTTGGGAGCACCTTCAGAGGAGACTGAATAAAAGGATAGAACGAAGAAACTCTGCCAATTATTGGGACAATTCATTATTATTGAGGCATGCACGAGTGCAAAGGACAGCAAAAGATAATGAAGATGCAAGCATAATTGAGATGATCATGGAGTCTTAGATGCCATGTGAAGGGATTCTTAAAACATGGATATTGGCGGGGCACAGTGGCTCACACTTGTAGTCCCAGCACTTTGGGAGGCCGAGTTGGGTGTGTCACTTGAGTCATTTGAAGGCCAGCCTGGGCAACGTGGCAAAACCCTGTCTCTACAGAAATATAAAAATTAGCTGGGCATAATGATGGGTGCCTATCTGTACAAAAACCACAAAAAAATTATCCGAGCTTGGTGATGTATGCCTGTAGTTCCAGCTACTTGGGAGGCTGAGGTGGGAGGATTGATTGAGCCTGGGTGGTTGAGGCTGTAGTGAACTGTGATTACACCACTGCACTCCAGCCTGGGTGTCAGAGCAAGACCCTGTCTCTAAAACAAGAAAGCATGGATATTGTCAGATACGGCCTATATAGCTAGATCATGCTGAAGCTATGTGGTATTAGATACATACATTAAAAAATCATTCGAAGCCAGGCGCGGTAGCTCACGCCTGTAATTCCAAGCACTTTGGGAGGCCGAGGAGGGTGGATCACTTGAGGTCAAGAGTTCAAGACCAGCCTGGCCAACATGGTGAAACCCTGTCTCTACAGAAATACAAAAATTAGCTGGGCATAATGATGGGTGCCTATAATCCCAGCTACTAGGGAGGCTGAGGCAGGAGTATGGCTTGAACCCGGGAGGTGGAGACTGCAGTGAGCCGAGATTGCACCACTGCACACTCCAGCCTTGGCGACAGAGTGAGACTCTGTCTGAAATAAATAAATAATTTGAATGACTACTATGTTCCAGGGACTGCTTTGGACACAAGACATCAGTAACTAAACTTATAGTCCCTGTTCATATAGTGTTTAGAATCTAATACATGGGTTGGGGCTCGGGAGGGGTGGAAAACAATTATCAGGTGGTTAACAAATGAAAGCTATGAAAATTAATAAAGCAGAGTAAGAGAAATAAGAGTATGTGTTACTGTTTTGTAAAGGGTGGTCAGAGAAGGCCTGGGGATTTGAACTAGGGCTGGGACGGAAAGGACAAGTAAGTATGCAGGAGTCAAAACTGGCAGGACTTGGGGATGGTGATGGAGAGGAAGAAAGAGGAAGGAATAGTGAGAGTATATAGTAACAATATGGGAAACCAGACTAGTTTGGAAGAGGCTTCATAAGCTATTTGAGACAAATGGAGATGCTGTGAAACATCAACCAATTTGAAATGCACCTAAGTTTGTGTGACAAACAAGCCTAAGGCCTAGGTTAGTTGTAGATAAACCTTTTCATCATTGCCAAAAGCAAACACCATTTCTATTTTTTAACATCTAAAAAATTTTGAACATTTTTAACATGTTGGATCTGTTGTTTTGGGGATATATACGTGGATATAACATACCTTGAAGTAGTTCAGTCTACGGCCGGGCGTGGTGGCTCACACCTGTAATCCCAGCACTTTGGGAGGCCGAGGCGGGTGGATCCCCAGGTCAGGAGATTGAGACCATCCTGGCCAACATGGTGAAACCCCATCTCTATTAAAAATACAAAAATTAGCTGGGCGTGGTGGCACGGGTCTGTAGTCTCAGCTACTCAGAAGGCTGAGACTGCACTCCAGCCTGGCAATACAGCGAGACTCCGTCTCAAAAAAAAAAAAAGTTCAGTCTAATGACGTATGACTGAAAAAAATTCTCATTATTGTAAGTACTATAATAGAAGTTATTACAGAATCAAACTGGGTGGAGTCAATATACCTAGGATATGTTTAACAGGGCCAAGGTGACATTTAAGGTGAGTGTGAAGGCTGAATAAAAGTTACAAGTAAAGAGGAGAGGCATTCCAGATAGAGGAGAAGCCTTTCAATTAACTCAGAGGTTGTAAAAATGTATTTGGGGAATGGAAAACAGGTTCAAAGGACTACAAGGCAAGGTTCACAGAATAAGTGATAGGATACAAGGTTGTAAAAATAAGTTGTGGCTGGTTAATGAAGGTCTTTTTAAATCTTGCAGAAACTATGATCTGGGAAACAATGTTAATAATCAACTCTTTAGGTCAGAGTAATGAAATATTTAGGTTTATGCAAGAATTCTGGGACCATGGAGGATGAACTGGAAGACAGGCATGAAGTTGGGGCCAAGGGAGAAAAACAGACCTAATTAACAAAACTAGGTTAGACTCTGGTATGGATAGAAGTTAAACAGACAAAAAAGGGTTATAGGTTGCTTTTTGGGCAGTTGGTTGCAGAGGGGGCTACCATTACTTCAGGATAACTAGATGATGCTATAGAGAAATCAGGTCTGGGGAGTTGGGGTGAATAGTTTTGGCATGTAAAGTTTGAGCGATATTTGGATAAGGTAAAGGCAGTCTAATAAAGGTCCTGAACTAAGGTGAGAGGGAAGCAGATTCTAACTTTTATGGATAGCAATGGAAAGTACGAGTAGATAAAGCTGCTTAGAAAGTTAATTGTTGAAAGTGAATTAAACCCTGGAGAACATCAACATTTAGTGGATGAATGGCCAAAGATCAGTATTTATAGGTGTAACATGGAAGGTAAAGAAAAGTTCAATCAGCATGCACTTACTTCCTTTTGTTACTGGTAGTGAAACCTTAGCAGTCATACCTATACCTACAAAACATGTAGGTAAGAAAAACAAAAATAAGATAGGTGACTTCTTATTTTATTGCTGTTACTCTAGCATACATGGATGTGATATTAGGACATGGCTGAACTTTTATACCCCATCAGAATATCCTGAATGGAGTTTCCTCTGGAGGACAATGAAGTCCCTCCTATCATACCTTTCTGGGTTAAAAGTGATTGAACTCGCATTTAAAAACTGGTTAACAGCTGAGCGTGGTGGCTTATGCCTGTAATTCCCAGCACTTTGGGAGGCTGAGGTGGGCGGATCACCTGAGGTCAGGAGTTCGAGACCAGCCTGGCCAACATGGCGAAACACTGTCTCTACTAAAAATACAAAAATTAGCTGGACGTGGTGGCAGACGCCTATGATCCCAGCTACACAGGAGGCTGAGGCAGGAGAACAGCTTGAACCCGGGAGGCGGGGGTTGCAGTGAGCCAAGATCATGCCACTGCACTCCAGCCTGGGTGACAGAGCGAGAAATATCAATGTTCAGTGTGTCTTCAAAATGTTTACATTCTGTCAAGGCTCAACTCATTTATATAACCTTACCTAATCAGAGAATTCCATCTCAGCTCCTGTAGCACTTAAACATGCACCCCTCATTTGGTACTTAAATGCCTTATATAACGTTTGAATTTCTAGAGTTTCTAATAAAGTCTACTCCAAAATTATCTTATGCCCCATTGTATCTCAAGGAAAATACACTGCCTAACTGCTGACTTTAACATTAATGGGCTGAGAGCGCCAATGCCCTATAAAGAATGTACCTATAGAGTTCCATTTATATTACTCTCTTAGATTTCTTTCCCAGAAATATGTTTTAACCTGGCTTTTTAGGAGCTCAAGAAAAGTTGACAATTGTACTTGATTGAAGGACTGCTCATAAATTTTCAGCTCAAGAGAAATTATTTTACTTACTCAAATTTATTTTCTAAATGCAGGTTTGAGGCAGCTAAATGAATAGTTACGAATTTGCACAAACAGGCTAAAATCTGAAAGGCAAGTTATTAACGGGGAGGGACTCAGAATAGCAATTTTAGTACTGCTGAAATATTCCATCTTAAAGGTTCATTTGGTAAACAACAAAAAAAGTGTATACTGTGAACAAAGAGGTCCTTTTTAAATTTAAGTCTCAGAAGTCTGTTCAGATAAAACTACAGTAAGCAAATCATGGTTTAACATGTATTTTTCTTAGTCTTTCACGTATAATTTTTTTTTAAAAGAAGCTATTCATTCATTCATTCATTCATTCATTAGCAACAACCAGTCAGGCATTATATTTATCAACTGAAGGTAAATAATGGCACAAAAAAGAATCGATGCATCAGGTAGCAGGCTGTCTGATGTCCCATGATTTTCCAACATCAAATAAAAAATATAATGCAGAGCCAGAAAAACCATCCAATTTTTTTAACCTCCTACTCCTTTCATCGGAAATGAGGTACGAGGTATGAGGTGTGAGGTGCAACACCTCAAACTGAAGTGAAACACCCGAACCAAGATTTTTCTTATACAGACAATTAAACTAGCACTTGTTTCAAATTTCCCTTTAGTTGGATGTGGCAACCTGGAGCAATTTCCTCATAGTACTATGAAATATAAATGGTGAGATTTCCAACTAGATCCACAAATGCCTAGTTAGAAACCAAAAGTCAACTACAACTGAAGTACTTTAGAAACCATTAATTAACTACCCACATTAACCCCACTCCACCAAAACTGCTCTAAAAGACCTTATCATTACCAAATTATTATTTTCCTAGACACAGTATTTGACAGTTGAGACTCTGCTCTTAAATCACTCCCTTGATTATTACCATGGCTTCCAACTCACCCCTCAGATGACATAAACGTATTTTACTTAGTGATTTCCCCATGTTTCAGTCATTGCCTCTTTCAACAGTTGTCTCTGTTAGTTGTAAACACCCTTTCCCTGCCATTTCACCATTAATACATTATTTGGATGGAATTCACAGGGACGTAGTTCTAAGAAGGGTAAAAAAGGAAAATCATTAAGTGAGAAAGAACAGATTTTCTCCTATTATGTAGTAGGGAATTATGGACTTACAGGAATCAAGGGAGTATTTTAAACAATTATTTAGAATGTATAGTATTCTGACCTTTTTCAATTAAGTGCTATCAAAACCAAGCAGAGTTGGTAGGACAGACGGGCTGGGATCCCAGTGATATTGTTGTCCCAATGTCCCAGTGACATTTGGAGAAAAAGACTATAACTAAGAGAATGCTTCATTAAATATACCTATCACTTTTCCTGAACTGGGGAGTCAGAAAAAATCTGAGTGTCTGCAGTGTAGCCAAAATATGCATTACGAACATGTTAATCATTTTGTGCTTCTAAGCAACAACTTTAGAAACTTTGTTTTTAGAAGGCAAGCAATTGTTAATCTTGGCCCACTTTCTTGCAGGAAGATGATGTTGATGTTAGGCCTGCAAGAAAAAGCGAGGCTCCATTTACTCACAAAGTGAATATGAAAGCTAGATTTGAACAAATGGCTAAGGCAAGAGAAGAAGAAGAACAAAGAAGAATTGAAGAACAAAAGTTACTACGCATGCAGTTTGAACAAAGGGAAATTGATGCAGCACTACAAAAGGTACCAGGCTTACATATCCTTCATTTTCCAAAGACGCCCTCTTAAAACCCATAGTTTTATAATTAGGTGGGTTAAAAAAAATGTTTTAATAGCTTTCTTTCAAGTCACTGGAATGTACTGTTAAGTATACTTTGTAGTAGGCATACTTTTATGTTCTTTACTTAAAAAACAAATTTCACTTCAAAATTGTTACTAAATCGCTGCCCTGAAAATACTGTATTATAAATGCCAACCTGAATCCATTTATTTTAATACAGAAAAGAGAAGAGGAGGAGGAGGAAGAAGGTAGCATCATGAATGGCTCCACTACTGAAGATGAAGAGCAAACCAGATCAGGAGCTCCATGGTTCAAGAAGCCTCTTAAAAACACGTCAGTTGTAGACAGTGAGCCAGTCAGATTTACTGTTAAAGTAACAGGAGAACCCAAACCAGAAATTACATGGTGGTTTGAAGGAGAAATATTGCAGGATGGAGAAGACTATCAATATATTGAAAGGGGAGAAACTTACTGCCTTTACTTACCAGAAACTTTCCCAGAAGATGGAGGAGAGTATATGTGTAAAGCAGTCAACAATAAAGGATCTGCAGCTAGTACCTGTATTCTTACCATTGAAAGTAAGAATTAATCACTTTTTATCTTTTATTCTATTAATTTTTTTTTTTTCCTTAAAATCACTTTTCTTCTTCTCTTTTTTAGCTGATGACTACTAGCTCCCCTTCCCTCTCCTTGGAACTTACTTTCACTCCAGCTTTCTTACTACATCCATCTTTTCTGTGGTGGGGCCAAAAAAGGAAACCAGGAGTGCCACTATGTTGACTTCTTATTCCTTTTCGTAACAGTCTTCAAAACACAGCTCATCTAAAGAATGCCTTCTTCTTTTCCAAATAAGCATCAGATTTATCGCCTATTATGCAGTAACAGTCAATAAAATGTACTTACTGGGGGGGATTAATTATTCTGTCAGAACCTATTATAAAGGCTGTGTATTTCCCATAGACGTTTACAGCAACTATGTTAAAAACACACACACACACACCCCTAAGTAGAATACATTATTTTGCATGAAGGAATGGCATTTCTGAGCTTTTTACACCTAGAATTAGGCTGAAATAGCTGAGATAATTAATTTGGAACCTATCAATTTGAGTGGACTTTTTCTTTAGTAGTATACCATTTTGGTGGTTGTTTCAAAGTCTTTCTGAAGCAGATATATTGAAGCGGGGTGGGGAAAAGTGTCACTCCTTTTAGAGGAAAAGGGGAGGAGCATGGAGAAAAACAAAAATTAAAGGACTTTTAAGAAAGACTGCCTATACAGTGTTGAGTGTTGAGGATATTAAACATGTTATTTTTCAAACATAATATATAATTAAATTTATAAAGCAAATTTATGTGATCTTGCCTGAGCAAATTATATTTTAATAAAAAAACTTTGTATTAATAGTTCACAGAAGAGAAAACACTTTCAACATAGCTGAAGGTTTCAAGATCTAAGTGTATCAGACTTAGGGAAAAAGTGGAACAACCTTCAATTTAAAATTCTAGTCTTTAAAATGAGTTTGTAAATAATTAGCTATTATGTTCTATTAAGTTGTTTTATATTTTAATTTTCTGGAAGACAATTTTATTTTACAATGTGAACCCAAATAAAGTAACTTCTGTATTTAAGAGTCTTTCTGTATTTTAAGACTTGTGCAACCAGATGGTACCCCTTTATCATTAGAACTTTTAAAAAATCATCTTTTCTTACAGTAAGCATTAAAAAAAAACCCAGTCAAGTAGAAAATTTTACCAAGTAATATGTGTATAAAAAAACACAAAGCACTCCCTTATAATATTCATCAATGTACATTTATTTATTGAGGAGACCATAATGAATACAAAATTACAGCTATCATGTGACCTTTTACATACAATGTCATTAAAGCAAACTCTAAACCACAGTTTGTAAAGTATTCAATTTACCTCAAGTCCAAGCTGCATCTCCCTAAGACACTGTTCCCATCACAGTAGCCATTTTAAGCCAATCTTCTTTTTACACACGGGTAGTTTCTGTAGAGAACATTTTTCTCAGGACGAAAATGCATCGAGCATGCATAAGAAAAAATATATATATATGCGCAAATACATTTAAGAGTTTCTATAGGGGTATCACTGAAGAAAATAAAACCCTGGGATTTGCTTATTAAAAGCACCAATTTAAAAAAAATCCCTCAAAAGCTTATATTGTGACAAGAAAAATGAAGTCACTAACTCAACAAAAAATAAGGTTATTTTCAGAACCAAAATTATCTTTAATTAGGTATTGTTAAAATGCATTTTAAAGTGAGGCAGAGTTTGCAGAAAATAAAAACAAGACATCCTCACTGATTAGTAAACTCTACATCATTATTCTACACAACAAATAACTTTCTAAGTAGAGCTGATTTTACTGGCAGAGTATTCAAACAAATAAAATGCTATCACTTCTGAATTACTCCCCTTTCCCTCTGAAGGTACTCTGCTATTCCTACCCAAACCCACCCTTATGAATTAACTACTAAGATAATTTGTTTAAAAGATATATTTTACAATGTTTATAAACAACTAGTATTAAATTACTAGTTTTAGTATTAAAACCATTTTTGATATTAAAAAATAAAACTATACTTCTCATTTCTAAAAGAAACATCAAACCACAGAATTCTAAGTATCACCACACTAAGCTGTCTTAAAAAAAAACTAAAAACATTGTCAAATTTTTGTTTAAGTGCTAAATAAAGTCAGTTCAATTTCAATCTAAACTATACATTGTTTCTAACACTAATATCCAATGCATTCAAATCAACTGGCTCACCTTTTCTGCTTTCCATTTATTTCAGATTTAAGACCAGCGTCATTTAAAATAATGCTTATATTATCAGTGAAGGCTTATGGTAATGAATAAAAGAATTCTCATGAGACAGAAACAGTGCCCCAATATCTATTATCATTCATCTATCTATATTTTTTTAATAAAAATGCAATCTACAACTAACCAAAACTCGACAGGCTCTCAAGTTTCAATGAGTCCCTTTATATTTACATACCTATCATTGACTATGAAAACATAACATACACATAAATGTGGTGTAATAACTATGTAACTTAAGAAATTTAACAGTTCATGGAACATTTAAGATCAAGTGAATAGCACTTTAAAATGAAAAGTGATCAAAAGCAGGTACATTACACCCTATACCATATTATGTATGGGAATACATTTCATATTTCTCAATTATGATTTGCCAATTTTACCTTCTACATTGAGCCCTTCTATGGTCCATGCTCATCGGCTCACCAATGGCATACACTCAAAGGATTCCTCTTTATGGGTAACTATCTCAGGACCTGATTTTATGAGCTATGATTTGGTGCTTGCAGCATCTTCAGCACTGTGTGTGAAAATGAAGGCAGTATTTTTGAATATTTTTCTTTGTTGCAGAGATAAGCAGGAGTTTTAAAAGGATCAGCACATTTTAGAAATTGAATAAACAAAACTGATAAGATGCTGCTTTCATACATTCATCTTAACTCAAAATATGTACCAGTTAAAATCATCTATAAAAACACACAAACATTTTAAACTGGCAAAAAAATTATATAAATGCAGCGTCAGTTATTAAAATATTATTAAATCAGAAAAATACTGATTGCTACAGATTATGAAAGGTTATTTGCTGTACAGTTAACATTTCACTGATGCACATGCCTTTTATCAAAACATACTGCCTTATAACTTTTTCCTTTTTCAGCATATAACTTTTGTCTCAGAAAAAAAATCATAATAAAATTGTAACCCATAATATCCTTACTGAATTATTATAGTTTAAGAAAAAAATAAAGAAATTATAGTTTTGGAGGGCAAAGAATTTTTCTGTCCATCATATAAAACAGATTGTGAAGGCTGTTGAAGTTTCTGAACAAGTGATTTCCTAAATCTTGAAAACTGTGTAATTGTCCTTTCTTAATCTTAACACTTCTATATTTGGGGAAAAAATACAAAAAGATTTGGATGTAGATCAATTACTGCAGCAATCTACTCATCATTTTCTTGTCTTAATAAAAAAAAAAAAAGTAAAATAAAAAACATTACCCAGAAATGTAAACAGTTGCTTTAACAACTTACAGACTTTCCACTAAGATGGTAGCATAAAATAACAAAATACATTTTGGGGAAGCAGTAGCAGATTGCCTTTGAATACACAACCACAAAAACCTCACAGGGACAACATTAATGTACTGAAATATTTATTTATATATGTCCTTAGGTTGTGCTTACCTGGTGCTTTTTGCAGCAGAACCTAAGGTGGAAGGTCTGGGAAGGCACTGTGAAGTATAAATAATTGCACTGTTTGCAATTAATAAAGATTTTAAACCTTAAATGAATCAAAATCAACAGCCTCCAATTTGTGAGTTATGATACTGAATTCAACTGAACTACTTCTTCAGTTCAATTAATAAATGCACCACTTTCCTAAAAGGTCATCTATAAAACAGTATCATGCAAAATACTGCAATTGCTCACGTCAATACCCTACTCTTAAAGATAACAAATAGCTAACTCCTTAACTATTAAACTTCAAACTAGAACTACATATCCAGATCTAAATAAGGGTAAGGGAAGTCACTCTAGGTTATATAAAACAATCAAAAACATTTCAAAATATCTATAATGAACTGTACTGCTATTTCCATCCTGTAGGTAATCTCAACATTTATGTCCTTGTACCTCTTCCTTTAAAGTATATTCAAAACAACAAATGGTGCTCCCCACCAATGACAAAATATATATTTATGAAATGTGTTAAAATTGCTACATTGCTCATTATTTGCAAACTGAAATCCCCTTCTGTCTGATACATTTCAAGACTTTCATATTAAATATAGAATATATGCATATTTTACACTGAAAAACAATATTTCAGGAGCACCAGTGAATAATACTATTCAACTTTGTTAAGTATCAGTTTTCTTTAGCTATAGCTAAAGCATATAAAAAATACTTACCCATTAAGCTCACTTTAAAAAAAATACAGAACTATGTATTATTCTATGTTAAATTAAGAAGCAGTTATGGTTTTCCAAGATATCAGCACTGTATTCCAACATAATATTCACACAAAGTATGGCATTTGCATTATGTGGAACATTGACAAAAAGATACTGTTGCAGTTCATCAATTTGTCATTCTGATGTACTTACAGTGCAATGCTCCTTGAAGGAACACAATCAAGGATGATACACAGCACAGTCCTCCTCACCCCTACAGAGCTAGTTCTATACTGGCTGGATCAAACCTGCACTTCAACAGACAATGGCAAGACAGACTGTATTTGCATGTAGTCTAATATATTAATATGCAAAGAGCCAACAAATATGCAAAGAGTAAAACAATGGATTTCAACAAAATATCAGAACTTCAGCATGAGTGTTAAAGAGTAATAAAATGACTTCAAGTACATAAAAAAATTAAGTTGATTCAATGATTGGACTTGTGCATTTACAAAACAAAGCTTATCTATACTGCTTAAAGAAAAAAAAAAAAGCTTGAACGTTTCCATACCCCATTTATGTTTCAATGGCAGATGCAATGTAGCTATACTTTTTGCACACTATTCACTTTTCTATCCTAAATTTAGAAAGAAACATACTATTATATACATTGAAAGAGTTGCTTTACATGGAAAAAAAACTGTTCTTATTAGACTACTCATATTCACTATCTGAAAACTGTTTAAAATTAGTTATGCCGAAACAGTCTTGGAAATCAAGTATTATCAAATTAAGAACAGAAAGGTTAACTGTTATAGCAGCAGTACAGGTCTGAAACAGTGGTCATGTATAAAAAGGAAATTTCACTGTTAATGCAATGGAAGTATGCCAGAAGATCATTGTACACACATGCAGTTTTTAATCAAACAGAAGGAAAAAAAATGAAGATACCAGGATTACTTGTGCTGAAAGAGCCAAATACAATAAATGGAAAAGATCCTCCAATCTACCACTATACTGCAAGGGGGGAAAAACATGCCAGTGTTTAAAAACTCAGTATTTCATGGGGAAAGCTTATATATTTGTGTATCTGTATCTTAATTTATCATTGCTAAGAAATTATGAATCCTTTAAATACCCACATATCCAACTTACCGACACAGGAGGTTTCATATCATTTATTGTAAAGCACAAAACAGGCATTTTAAAAGTGAAAGTATACATTGAAAAAGTACATTTATATCACAAAGCATCAACCACATAATTGCAAATACATTTGCTGGAATGTGTACATCTACACTAAATACTAAAAACAAACCAATTTTCATTTCTACACAGAAATATTAACCTCCTATCAGTAGTGATAGATATTTTGTACATTTGCAAAAAAAAAAAACAAAAAAAAAAAAACAAAAAAAAAACACTATTTTAAACCAAAAACAAAATTAAGATCTTCATCAAGTCGTCTGCATCCATATATTTAACAAAGGTTTTTTTCCCCCACACAATGAAGCAAATACTGTATTGTCCACTTCTTATTATTGGCCCTGTGCAGAAGAGATACATAAGAAATACACAAAAAGTTAAAGAAAATCCTTGAAATGGAGCTAATTCAGGAGTGAATCCTTTAAGAAAGAAAAACTGGTTAATATAAATGGTGGTAGCTTCTTGCATGATTTGCAAATCCCTGGGGGAAGAAAATTTATTTTTAAAATCAAAGGCATTGCAGAAATATTCAGCACTCAGATGCCGGAAAACATTATAAAAAACAAACAAAAAAACCCAAACAATACACCGTAGTACTTCATTTAAATAGTTATACTTTGCCAGATAAAAATTTAAAAGGCAAACACTCCCAAACAGACAAACAGTAAACATGCAGAAAACAGACTGGAGTAGAAATCAACAAATTAGCAATTACATTATACCTGAGGTGCTGGAGGATGCTGTGGCATTCCCTGGGGACTTGTCTGGGCATAATAGGCTGCTTGTTGTCTATAATACTCAGCCCAGGCTGCACTATAATCTGGCTGACCACCTGGAGGAGCCCCAGTCGGAGCAGGAACTGCTTGACCTTTGGAAAAAAAAAAAAAAGAATTTTGTTGCTGTAACCACAATTAAAAGTCCAACATCTCATTTCCAGTAAAAACAATACCTTGCTTCTTGTAATATTCTCCCAAGCCTTTGAATAATCTTGTGTCTGCCCTTGTTGACCTAAAAAAACCCCCCTAAATTTTAATATTAAATTACAATCATAAGACAAAAGCACAGAGGGTCAGAATTACTCCTGTTTTATTTAAAATATTCATTAGTAGTGTCAGGAAACTACTCTAAAATTAAAAAAAAAAAAGCTCTTTATTTTCTTTTTGCCTTATAATTAATCATAATGTTTAGTTCTAGAGCGTCATTATTGGTAAAAAAACAAAATCAACCCCAAATCCACACTGCTTTAGCTAAGGAAGGTAAAGATTTAGGCATAATCTTGATTGGATTCCAGAATTAAAAACAAAAAAACCCACTTAATTGCAATGATTTAAAGATTTTATTATTTTAAGACCTAGCCAAGACTTTTTCCTGATTAGTAACCTATAAAGTGTATGTACATGTACATGTACACACACACACACACAGATTAGTAGTAAGATGTTAAAAGTATCAATAATTTATTCCAATTACAACACAATGGTATTAAAAGTAACGTGACAAGGAATAAAGAACAAGATCAATGAAACACATAACTCAGCTTTCACGATCAGGTCTTTTCCCAAATGAGATGACTTTGCTGAATTAAGAGACTAAAGAAATATAACAATGAAATGCAATGCACGAATCTTTGCACTCTGAATTTAACAAAACACACAGACGACGAAAGACATATTCCTGACAACTATGGAAATTTAAATATAGTCTGTATTTTTGTGATACTATTGAGGGTATTTATTTTCAGACAGGGTCTCACTATGCCACCCAGGCTGGAGTGCAGCGGTGCATTCATGGCTCGCTGCAGCCTCGACCTCCCACGGCTCAGATGATCCTCCCACCTCTGCCTCTAGAGTAGCTGGGACTACAAGCCCACCATGCCTAGCTGACATTTTTCTCTTTTTTTGCAGAGATGGGGTTTTGCCGCGTTGTCCAGGCTGGTCTTTAACTCCTGGGCTAAAGTGATCCACCTGCCTTGGTCTCCCAAAAGTCCTGGGATTACAGGCGTGAATCACTGTGCCCAGACATTGAGTTTCTTTAGAGCCAACTGTCTTGTCTGCAACTTACATTGAAATGGTTCATACAGAAAAACGTACATATAAAGCACATACAGCAAACTTTAAAAAAATGATGAATGAAGCTGAGTGGTACCTAATTTCCCCAATTTCTGAAGGTATATAATTTTCTAAATAAAAAATTGAGAAGAGAGATATGTTTTCCTATTCAGTTGCTTTACTTAAGCACTATTTTATTTCGTTTGTAACTCACTTGGCTTTGTGAAATAATTACCACAGACAAAAGTACTGGAGCATGGACGTATACGAAGCTGTTTTTATGTTTGTATGATGTTGCCAACAAGGCCAATTTCCTAGTTTCAGAAACCTGTCCATCACCATTGTAAAATAGGTGACAGAATCAAAGCAACTGAGTGAAAGAATTTAAGATTTATGATTCTTTAAAAATGCATGAAACAAACCCTCTTTTCTTGGGTAACAGAGAACTCTCATAGACTATTAAAAATTCTCATATTTTCCTGTCTTCTATAAAGAACTGTTAATCAAAGAGGAACATTTGCCTCTTACAAGACACAATTCAAGCAAATCTGAAACAGGTTTCAATATTTAAAAAACTGCCAAATACTCTGGTGTAACAACAGCAATAAAACCACACGTTTTCTCTTACAAGCTGCACACTTGAAACCAAACCTGATCAAGGTAGCAATCAATATTCTTCAGGTTTTAAACCCACTGTGAGAGTTACTCATTTTAGATGTAAGATGGTAGAAACAGGCATATTCATCAAGAAAATTCCATCAATGTTCCCTTAAAAAACTACAACCTCTGCAAACTCCTATATCCCTGTGGAAAGCTAATAGTAAACACTTTAGACTTTAAAGAACTCTTTCCTTGCCCTTTCAGACATGTACTGCCTTACCTTGCTCCCCTTATTATTCTCTTTAGTTACTGGATTTTGTTTTGAGACAGGGTCTTGCTCTGTCACCTAGGCTGGAACACAGTGGTAGTGGTGTGATCATGGCTTAGTTACTGTTTGATTCAAGACAGTTGAGTTTACACTTCAGTAGAACATTATCTAATATTTATTATAGTTTTATAATTATAATCTATAAAGTTTAGCCTTAAATTTCTTTCATCCAAAAGATAAAAGACTTGCTCTACAGTTAGCCTGTAAGATTTTATTATAGCCTAAGAGTCAGCCTTGCTTGAACAGATTTTCACACTCAGTTGTCTTCCTATATACTTGTACCTTTCCTACAAGTCTCACTCTACCCTCCTTTAGGCTTAAGGTACCAGATTCTTAAGGGTTCAGAGTCTACTACATCAGTCTTTATTATAAGGGCCTTCCTTAAGTCAAACTTTTCTCAAATGTCTTCACTTCTCCAAAAAAGAATTACTCCTTTCTACTTTGAAACCCTGCTTGTTCTCTTAAGGGTCTCTTATAAAAAATCCCTCTATTCTAGCTTTAAAAATACCCATCTTTAGATTGCTGCCATTCCTTATAACTCTCATAAAAATACCCATCTTTAGATTGCTGCCATTCCTTATAACTCTCTGAAATCTTATCAAGATTTTCTCTACTTGGGAGGCTGAGGCAGAAGAATTGCTTGAACCTGAGAGGTGGATGCTGCAGTGAGCCGAGATTGTGCCACTGCACTCCAGCCTGGGCGACAGGCAGAGGTTCCATGTCAAAAAAAAAAAAAAAAAAAAAAAAAAAATTATCTTAGTTTGGTGTTATCCTGGGGAATTTAGAATTGTTTTAAAATACAAACCTAATTTTGGAAAACTTAACCTACATCTGTTTTCAACTAATCTATTTTGCTCATAAAATTAACAGGTGAGGCTGGGTGTGGTGGCTCACGCCTGTAATCCCAACACTTTGGCAGGCTGAGGCAGGTGGATCACCTGAAGTCAGGAGTTTGAGACCAGCCTGGCCAACATGATGAAACCCTGTATCTACTAAAAATACAAAAAAAATAAGCCCAGCTACTTGGGAGGCTGAGGCAGGAGAATTGCTTGAACCTGGGAGGCGGAGGTTGCAGTGAGCTGAGATCATGCCACTGCACTCCAGCCTAGGTGAGAGTGAGACTCCCTCTCAAATAAATAAATAAAATTAACAGGTGATTATTGTGGTACTACAGAAAAAGGATAGAAAAGGTGGGGTAAGGAGGTTCTTTAGTCATGCAGTATTATTATTTAATTATTTCTATGCCATGTTTTCCTACAGAGGATTTAAGACAGTATAGCATAGTATCTCTAACTGGCAGGGAAATGGTGAAAAAAAAAAAAAAATTAAAGACAATAAAGACAATTTCTTCCCTTAACAATGAAAATTAGAATTTCTTCCCTTAACAATAAAAATCAGAATTCAACCCACCCACTCATTTTGAGTAAAACATAAAAAAGTAAAACATAAAAGACTAAACAGTAAATGTATTAACGGCCATATTACAAATAATCAATAAGGTAAAATAAAGCACAGAAGTCAAACTCATTCCTCAGTAATTAGCTAAATCCATTAACAAGCCTTTATTTTTACCTACTTAATAACTTAATAACTAGGGACCATATCTAGGGAACATTACCCATTGAGAAAACAGAAGTTGAAGATTTTTAACCCAAACATGTGATCAGGTCTCACTGTGATGCCAACGCTGGCCTCAATCCCCTGTGTTCAAGGGATCCTTCTACCTTAGCCTCTCTAGCAGCTGGGACTACAAGTGTGTGCTACTGCATGTGGCTCATGCTCAAGTCTTTTAAAATGGTGACGCTATTTCACTGAAGTTAAGTTGATTACACGTCCTGACCACAATGTTGTCAGGACATGATTTTTTTTTTTTGAGACGGAGTCTCGCTGTGTGCCCCAGGCTGGAGTGCAATGGCGCGATCTCGGCTCACTGCAAGCTCCGCCTCCCGGGATCCCGCCATTCTCCTGCCTCAGCCTCCTGAGTAGCTGGGACTACAGGCACCCGCCATCGCGCCCGGTTAATTTTTTTGTATTTTTAGTAGAGACGGGGTTTCACCGTGTTGGCCAGGATGGTCTCGATCTCCTGACCTTGTGATCCGCCCGCCTCGGCCTCCCAAAGTGCTGGGATTACAGGCATGAGCCACCGCACCCGGCAGGACATGATTATTAATAGCATCCCTATTCATTCTAAAAAGGATCCCAGTTCAGAAAATATATTATGTAACCAACTTTAATCAGAGTATGCTGTTTTTAAGTTAAAAGTTTCTTTTTGCGGAATTTTAGCTACTGTAGATCTGCTTAAGCTACGTCACAAAAACATATATTAATCTGTTATAGTCTCAGAAATAGATGGAATATGACTCTCCTAGGAAGCCACTCTATGAGGAAAAACAATTTTTTTCTTTCTTTAAAAAGAAACCAGTTGTGCAGAACATCTTTATCATCAAGTATATATAATTTTACACCTAGAAGATTAAAATCATCACCCTTCTGGAAATTTTTCTTTCTGCAGAGAATGAGAAACATTCTTTGGCAAAGAAAACATTGAAATTTACACTAAGAATCCCAAGTAGACCGATCTCTTATGACAAAACTACCACCTATAGATTCTTTTTCTGCTAGTGAAGGATAACCAAGCTTACCAATTTAGTTTTCGTTTGTGACATCTAGCTGTGGTATGTAATAATTTTTAAAGAGCAAAAGCAGTTGAAACATAGTGATTTGTCCAGAAGTATAGTACCAGGTTCCAAATGGTCCCTAAAGAGACAAATTTGGGAGACAAGCTTGGGACTCAGACCCTCTTGGAAGCCAGACTCTGGTTCCATCACTTAGTTACTTTCCCTCACTACAGATTACTTCTTACCTGCTTATCTTGCAGCAAAAATAATGGTATCACACACAATCCATTTTCACCTGACACATTAAAATTTAACCTTATGTCATTCAGACTAATATATATAACTGTCATTGTCAAAAGTATAGTAATGTTAATACTGTATGTGCCAGTGAGGAAATTTCTAGTTTCAATTAATAACTGGTTGACAAATGCAATTAGAAAGAAAAATATTTCCTTGCTATATAACCACAAATTTAAAAACTATAATTTGCAACTGTCTTGGTGTGTTTACGAGTCCAGTGATTTTATTCAATTATTCTCTTCCTGAAGAGAATAACTTGTGTTTCAATTTAATTAAGTATGTATTTTCAAGAAATGTATAAAACATACCCATTTTCTTGTAGTACTCTTCCCAAGCCTTGGTATAATCAACCTGTCCAGCTGGGGCTGGATTCTGCTGATCTCCTTGATCAAGCAAAACAAAACAGAACAAAACAGAAAAACAGAATTAAAGTTTTTAAAAGGCAATTTTAGCTGTTTCCTTGGGTGCAGGAGCTGGCAGGGGCCTGCAATGTGACAGTGAGGGGTAGGAGGAAGGTACTATGTGGTGGTGGCATCCCTACTGGTGCCAAAGATAGAAGGTACTGGGGGTACAGAGGTGGTGGACAGAAAAGAAAACCAACCTGTTTGGAAGACTGGTTATGTCGAACATATAAGTAAATGTATGTAAAATAAGGAGATACACTGAGGATACCAGGTTTCTCACCATTTGTAAACAAGTACAGAAAAGGAAAAGGCTTGAAAACCCCAAAATGCTGAAATGGATGTCGTAATATGAACGTAGTTTTAAAAAATATATACACATATCAATGTTTATGTGTTTTTTGGCATGAGTATGTAGGTATGCATGTATGTAAATATATTTCCTAGTTCTGTCTGCTGAAAGAAGTTAGAAGCAATTACACCTCAGTAGCAACAAGCATAGTCAAGTCTCGTTTCTAACTACCATACTCTACTAAAAGGAATCAGAGCTCCTTGAAGAAATAGCTGACTTAAGGGTTGGAGCCCATAAAACACAAAATAACAATCTCACTGTGCCAGACAGTATGGAAGTGCTTAAAATAACGACAGATATTTCAAAAGGATATAGGCACCACCCTGAATATACTCCCTGACTGGCCAAATCTAGGATAATCTGATTATCAAAATTAAAAAAATATTCAAAAAATATAACCCATTGCAAAAATCAGAAATCCATAATGATATAAAGAGCTTAATATATTAATGTTGACTTACTGATTTGGAGGGCTGTATGATGGTTATATGTTTTTGAAGAAGTACCCAACAGGACATTGTGTCTATAGTTTAGTCTTAAATGATTTCTTTCAGAACTAATTATAATGGATGTAATTAGTTTCCTTCAGAACTAATTATAATGAATATTTCAAATAAATACACACCCATACACTTGTATGATATAGATGGTATTAGAGTAAACAAGGGATAAAACATTAACAGCTGGGTTATATGGGTGGCTCCTGGTATTCTTACAACTTTTATGAAAGTTTGAAACTATTTCCAGGTGACAATTTAAAAAAGGAAAAGTCTGCTTAAATTATAATTAAATAATGTTAGAAATTTTAGGTATTATACAGTGATGTACTTCATATATAATTCCAAGCACAAGTTTTGACTTTCACATATAAGTTCTTTAGTTACCTTGTCCATTAGTTTGAGTTGTAGTTGGTGCACCTGCAGGGGCTGCTGGTGGTGGCTGTGCTTGCTGTTGATAATAGTGAGCATAATAAGCAGCCCAAGCTGCTGAATTTGGATCCGTTCCTGCCTTAGCTAGAATAAATGAAAGTTCAAGGTTTGCATGTTGAAGTCTGTAATTCTCACACGAGCGCGCGCACACACACACACACACACACACCCAGCTCTCTGGCAAATATACAGCTCCCAAAATTAACTAGAACATTAAAAAAAAGTACATGGAAACTTTTATATTTTCTATTATTTTTGTTGTTACCATCAGCTTTTATTAAAGAAAACCAAGGCTCAGAGACCAAGTGACTTTCCCAGGTTAAAAACTACTGAGTTGCATAACTGGGATATGAATAAAGGTCTTTTGGCTCCAAATCCAATGCTCTGTCTCAAACCATCCTGTGCCCTTGTTTTTTTCTAAATTGGTTTCACCTCAAGCACAAACAGCTCTATCTGGAAGATGACTTAAGAAAAACATTTCTAGGGGCTAACCTGCATAAGAAAGAAACAATTATTTTAGAACAATGAACTTTGTCCTTATTTTCAATGAAGAGAAAATATAAAAATTTTAAAAAAAGATTAGCCACATTTCATCCTATTTCACATTGAATGTTATAAACTTGATGTCATCCTACTTGAAATTCTTCATTCTCTAGAATCTTCAGGATGGTCAAAGCTTAAGTACAGCCTATCATTCAACATCTTTAACAGTTTGAATCCCCTGGCTTATCCTTTCCATTTCAGCCTCACCTCTCCCTTCGTTTGTATCTCTTTAACACCCAAGCTCCAGCCACAACACAGTGCTTGTACTTTTCAGAAATCACTATGCCCATGTCTCAGCTTTTAGCTATGTTATGTTTCCTCTACACTTGACTGACCCTCACTCATCTCCCACATCAACTGAAGTGCAAACAGTTTGAGACCTCTCAATCTTCTAGAAACCACAAAAAAACTTGATTCTGTCCTTTATACTAGGAATATCATACAATTAAAACTTTTAAATTTTCTATTATGCTTTCATTCTGAACAGTAGCAATTCTCAGCTGCTTAACAAAGGTTAGTCAAGTTTGAGAAAAAGGAGTGAGAATTTCTAGAAAAAGAAAACTACAAGGTAATATAATTGTAAGGTGTTATTAGGACACCCTCCAAGCTTTTCTCAATTGCCCAATGTACTGCTTTTGTATCCTGGATGTTTACATATCTCAATAGTGTCATTATCTGTATTTATTATTATTTTTTGAGATGAAGAGTCTCACTCTGTTGCCCAGGCTGGAATGCAGTGGAGCGATTCTCAAGCAATTCTCCTGTCTTAGCCTCCCAAGTAGCTGGCATTACAGGCACCCGCCACCACACCCAGCTAATTTTTGTATTTTTAGTAGACAGGTTTTCACCATGTTGGCTAGGCTGGTCTCCAACTCCTGAATTCAAGTGAACCACCCGTCTCAGCCTCCCAAAGTACTAGAATTACAGGTGTTAGCCACGGCGTCTGGCTATTATCTGTATATTAATCAAGAAATCTAGGTATTTCACTTTACACTATGCCTGGACAGAGAATCTGAGATAAAACAGACTTTAGGAAGTGTTATTTCTACACCCAAATGTGTAAACCATACTGAAGTACCAGTCTCACAAATAACCAGTATGTACTAAGAATTTACTAAATATTCACTCAACCCAAGATTCATTCATTGATCAATTTATAGGTAAGAAAACAGGCTTAGAGGAGTTCAAAAACTTGCCTGACATCTCACCATTAGTAAACTGTAGGACTAGTACTGATCTAGGTCTATTTGACTCTGAAGTCTAAATTCTTGACCACTACATAAATCCATAACAGGCCACTCTTTTTTTAAAGAAATATTTTAGTTCATACATTAAAACGTTACGTCATTCTAAGTCTAATATAAGCAATATTCACCCCAGAGACCCAGTAACCCTTTGATAAATCTGAGTGGGGCCAACCAGCTGGTTTTAAATGGGTTACTTCTTGCCCAAAGGCCATGCTGCAACCACATTCACTGACCAGCTTTTATAGTAGTGACTTCACTACTACTCCAAGTGGGAAACTCAACATGTGATACAAAGACCACTTCCACTTCTTATTCCCATCACTTTTTCTCAATCATGCTAACCACCCAGTAGTGCTCAAAAATACAATCCTGGCAGATCCAAGTTACCCAGTATGAATCTGTCTCTTAACCTACTCAAACTCTTCAATCTCATTACTTAATTATACCATCCCAAATAGCCAACAAGAGGAAAAGCAAAGCCCTTTCATTCTCCAAAAATTCGTGTTTACAGTATTATATTCTGTACCCTGTGAGCCCTTCTATCAGTGTTGGTATGCTGGGAGTGCATTCTTTTGCTATAGAACACAACCCCAACTTTGCATACCTATATTCTAGCACAACTCAAGTCATTCCTTGAATTAATGGAAGTTGTGATTATTTGGTAACTATCATGCTGTGTCATCATATTCCAAACAGCACACTTCCTATGAAATTAACCAAGCAATTTCATTTACATAAATTACTTCAAGTTTTTTTGGGATAAATATATTATGTGTAGAAAGTAATCCATAATTGAGTATATTTTCCTTGAAACTACTCTGGTGAAAGAGGCCTAAAAGGTAGGTAGCAGGTGAAAAAAAAGGATCATAAATAAATGTTAACTGGTTTCAAAGAATGACTCTTTGACCAAGATGGAAAGCAAACTACAGGGTATGGAAAGACGCCAGAATAGTACAGGATATAATATATACATATCGAAAATCCAGATCTGAATATAGAAAATAATTAAATGTATTTGGGTTTTAGCATGCAGTTATTAAATACAGGCCTGATTTTTACTCACATGAAGTCATTATGAGGAGTACTAGAACCGGTATCTTATTTGACAATTTGGGAGTTTAATGCCCAAATACGTAACACTCTGTAAGACTGTTTTATATATACATATATATATATTTTTAAGAGATGGGGTCCCATTCTGTTGCCCAGGGGAGTGCAGTGGTGCGCCCACAGCTCAATACAATCTAGAACTTCTAGCCTCAAGCAATCCCCCCGCCCCCCCTCAGCCTTCTGAGCAGCTAGAAACACAGACACATACCACCCTGGCTGGCTAATTTAAAACAAATTTTTTTAGAGATGGGTCTTGCCATGTTGCCTAGGCTGGTCTCAAGCCTCAGCCTCGACTTCTGAACAGGTGGGATTACAGACGTGAGCCTCAGTGCCCGGCCCCATCCCATAATTTTCTAAATAAGTAAAAACTATTTTTTCATAGATAACGTCACAGTTAACACACTACATATTTGATAGCAATGGTATTCAAAACCTATGACACTATGCTGTTTCCTGCAGCTTTTAGCTTTTATCATTCTGCTATATCGACTCATAAGAAAGCCAAATGCAAGCTGAAAGGAATTCCATAAAAGCAGAGATCATATTCATGTCAGTTCTATATACACTGCGGTAGAGGAAGTGCCTAACACTGTTGAAAGAGTAGAGTGAGTGAAGGTGAGGCATACAAATGTAGAATCAACACTAGAAAATTTAATAATGTAACACGAGTGAAAAACAATACAGCTAACACACAAATGATAAGCATCTTTTTACCTGGATCAGGAGGAGCCTGCTGCTGCCAGTGTGGATATGCATTCCCCCATCCCTGGGGAGCGTATGGGGCTGGAGGACCACTGAGAAGAAAATTCAGTATAAAAATGTAGTCCAAAAACTAGAATCTTTGGGGGAAAGCCCAGAACTAAACCCAATACTTACTGAGGAGCTGGGCCTGGTGGTCCAGGATTATAAGGTGCAGGGTTGTATGGTCCCATTGGAGTTCCAGGCCCTGGAGGCCCAGGAGGTCCATGGGGGCCTGGGACGCCATGGGGCCCATGGGGTACAGGTGGCCCTAAAGGATTTACTGGGCCCTACAAAAAAAAAAGGAAGACGTAGAAAAATCAGAAAAAACACAGTAATGGTTAACCAACTCCATGGACAAATAATCTTCCATTTCTGCCCTCTTATAGTCACAAACAACAAATTTTAGGTTTTCCTTCCTTTCCTCATTCATTTTGCAAAAACTATTTTATCTGCCATAATAATGAGACATGTGAAATTTACTAAAATCAATAGCGGTAGCAATTAAATGCAATTTAAATTAAATTAAAATTAGCAATTAAATTTTCTTTAGCTTGTCTGCGACAGCAGTAGATCCCTTTCCTTTTATAATTCTTTCTTTTACTATCTTTTTTCATCTTAATCACAGAAATCAGGTCTTTATCTTCAGCTCTTCTCTCTACATCTACTTGCCTAACATAACACAACCATCTTGACAATATATTCCCAAACTGCTTGGGTCCTATATCATCAATTGTCTTCTGAACACTTCACTGATAATGTTAACAGCTAGTTGGTTCACTATTAAACCAAACTCCACCTCACAACCTATTTCTGTCACTGAAACCCCATTCAGATCAATAATTTATATCCTTTTTGACCTTTCATGTATCATAATTCTAAACAGCACAAACATTCCCTTTTTAAGTACTTCAATAAATCAGGATATTTTATATCCTTATCATGCATGCATGCCATATCATAATCAATAATGCTTAACTGATTTCTGTTTTGTTAAGCCAACAAAGACATTACACTTAACTGTCCTAAAATGCTCCTTCTGAGTAGTTAACACAACCAGGCGACATGCTGGACAAAACGGTAACACTATATTTTGTTGTAAATTTCTCACTGCAAAATAGGGAAACTAAACTTCATGACCTTTAAAGTTCTTTTTATTAACTTGTCTCTTTAAGTCTCCAACTGCTGTCATCTCTCACTTATTATCCATTATCTATTCTTTCCAAATAGTAAAAATAATACTGAAAAAGTAGCAACATTTTTTAGGGCTATGTGCCAGGTATTCTTTTAAGTGACACACACGTGAACGTTCATTTAATCCCTACAACTCTATGAAATAGATACAATTACCCTCATTTTATAGGAGGAAACCAAGGCACAGAAAAGCCTGAGCAACTTCTCCAAGGTCACAGACCCAGTAAATGATTCAGAGAAGAGTCCGTGCTCTTAATCACCACACCAAATTGCTTCTCTAAAACAATCTATCTTGTTTTACCATGAATCCAACAGAAATCCTGATCCATGCATGTGAGGCTAATACTGTAAAATCAAAAACCAAGATGTGCTATTCATTTTTTTTGCTATGGCATCAACCTCCTATCATTACTCCACAAACATCTTCATTTTTTGAACAATTAAACTATCCATACAACAGAACTTACAATGTTTGTGTACATTTTATAAGATGTTCCTTAAGCATCTTTAGTACATCTATTTTTGTCTTCCCAAGTACACAGAAACAGCGTCAACCTTGTTTTGCATGCACTCCATTCATAGCATGGTAAACACCAAAACTAATTTTTCCTAGGAAATTCTGATTAATAATTTAAGATGCTCCCTGCACACTTTGTGTTAAAAACTCCAGTAAGACACCATCTGCCTCATTTACAAAAAAGCAGTCAAAGCTTTTTATACTTTTTGTTCTAACAGAAAACTTTTCTGGAGAAAAAAACCCAAACATCTGTGTAAAATCAGATGCTGGGCCCTATCCCAGACATTTTGAGTCAGGTCTGTCTCTGTATATTATGTGTAGGAGTTGGAAGCACCCAAATAGTCTACATTTTAAAACCCCCACATGATTTGTGAGCCAGTCCAAAAGCTAGGATTTACGAATTTCTACTGCAGAGCGGAAGATGCATCTGATTTATCTTGTTTGCCTTGCTGGGGTTCAGTATAGTAAAATCTTAATAAATAATGAATTCCCATTAACTATGTGCTTCAAGTATGTTCCACAATCCTACAATAACACTAATATGATGCCTGCACCCTCCTATCTATCCACACTCAAATGTACGGTTGTTCTCAAAACCTGTAACTGCACATTTAATTAGGTTATTTTCATTGCTGGAAAATCTTCACATTGTACCTATTATAGGTATCATGAAATCTATAAATACAGACTAGTAATTATATGTTTTCCTTTGATGTATTCGAATAAACGTCTTAATTTAACTACAATCTAAGGGTCTACACTATAAATTAAAAGTTTAAAGTATACTCACACCAATCTTTTCTTCTATGAGTTGCCGAGCATAATCTATCTGTTGTGGAGTGCCACGAATTGTAAATAACTTCATATTAGGATCTGCATTTGGTGGAGGATTTCTCTGAAGCTCTATTCTTGCACCAGACTGTTGGCTTATGCTTTTTATGGTTTCACCTCCTAAAATAAAAGACAGTAATTTCTCTAAAGGTTTCAAGGGTATACTAGAAGCTATTTAGAAGAAAATGGTCACAATTAAATGGGCCATTAAAAACATGGTTTGGTCAGTCAGTATTCTACTTGACAGTATTGTATTAAGATTTTTCATTTAATATTCTACACTTTAAATCAAATTTTAGGAAGCATTTCATGCTTCTCTTAAAATACATTTACATTTACTTAGTATGTTTAAACTTAACCTTAATGTGATTATAATAAAATATTTGAATAAACTGCTTTTAAAAGCAGTGTAAATATAAACTAACACACTTGTAAACATTCAAATTTTTAAAATATGAGTCGGGAAAAACCAAAATGCACAAACAAAAACACTCAAACAACTTTTTGGGTCAAAAGACCTTTCTTATGCTAATAATTATCTTAGTTCACTTTCTCTAGAAGCTAGTAAGATTAAAATCCTGCTCTTTTTATAAATATACATTAGATCCTTCATTTATGTTTTACTTGTTACATATTAACATAAGAATGCTTTTCTACTAAAACACAGCCAGAGAAAAAGCATTGCCACTTGTTTAAAACAGCAACAGAAATAGTGTCCAGAAAAACGAATAATGTGTTAAACATTAAGAGTTTAAAATACATTGCCTTTTCCTATTATTAATCCAGTTTTCCCAGTTGGCACAATAAAATTAAATTCCTGTAGTCCACCAGGTGGTCCCATGTTCCAGTTGCCTTGACCTCTACCTCTTCCTCGACCACCAGGTCCAGGTCCACCAGGATTACCAGCCTATAGAGAGGAATAGACAAGAAGGAAAAAAATCAGCACAGAAATAATTTTTTTCATGATAAAATTATTATGTCTATTTTTCCCAGCTCTCAAATACCTGAACCATAAATGTAGAGATGAACTGGCCCAAATAATCATAAGTAATAACATTTTTTTAAATTCAAGAGTAAATAAGGTAGCACTTAAGGTAGTAGTTCTTCCTGCTCCAAGATCTTTACCTTAAGACAATTTAAACTTTCTCCATTAATAAAGCATCATCAAGCAGACTCTGATACAGAGGAAACTTCAGATTTCATGAAGGAAAATACTTTTCCATAAAAACAAAAAATGAAAATGTTAACTTTCTATCAAACCTGAACACTTCGAAGAAGGTCTGTAATAATTTCTGCAGCATGTTGACATCGGTCTGGAGGTCCTGTTATTTGTGCTATCCTCTCAGGTGTTGTCCCATCATCTTCAAAACAAAGAAACAAAATTAATTAAACAATAAATGGGTGTGGCACCCAAGATGACCGAATAGGAACAGCTCCAGCCTCCAGCTCCCGGCATGAGCGACACAGAAGAAGGGTGATTTCTGCATTTTCAACTGAGGTACCAAGTTCATCTCACTGGGGTGTGTCAGACAGTTGATGCTGGTCCGCGGGTGCAGCCCGACCAGCAAGAGCTGAAGCAGGGCGAGGCATCGCCTCATCTGGGAAGCGAAAGGGGGGAGGGAATTCCTTTTCCTAGCCAAGGGAAATTGAGACACACACCACCTGGAAAATCGGGTAACTCCCACCCTAACACTGCGCTTTACCAAGGGTCTTAGCAAACGGTACACCAGGAGATTATATCCCAGGGATCAAACTTCCCAGAGCTAAAGGAGGAACTACGTAACCAGCGCAAAGAAACTAAAAACTCTGAAAAAAGAATGGATGAATGGATAACTAGAATAATCAATGCACAGAAGACCTTAAAAGAACTGATAAGAGATGAAAACCATGACACGAGAACTACGTGACAAATGCATAAGCTTCAGTAACCGACACGATTAACTGGAAGAAAGATTATCAGGGATTGAAGATTAAATGAATGAAATGAAGTGAGAAGAGAAATGTAGAGAAAAAAGAGTGAAAAGAAACGAAGAAAGCCTCCAAGAAATACGGTATTATGTGAAAAGACCAAATCTACATCTGACTGGTGTGCCTGAAAGTGACGGGGAAAATGCAACCAACTTGGAAAACACTCTGCAGGATATCATCCAGGAGAACTTCCCCAACCTAGTAAGGCAGGCCAACATTCAAATTCAGGAAATACAAAGAACGCCACAAAGATACTCCTCAAGAAGAGCAACTCCAAGACACATAATTGTCAGATTCACCAAAGTTGAAATGAAGGAAAAAATGTTTAGGGCAGCCAGAGAGAAAGGTCGGGTAACCCACAAAAGGAAGCCCATCAGACTAACAGCGGATCTCTCGGCAGAAACTCTACAAGCCAGAAGAGAGTGGGGGCCAATATTCAACATTCTTAAAGAAAAGAATTTTAAACCCAGAATTTCATATCCAGCCAAACTAAGTTTCGTAAGTGATGGAGAAATAAAATCCTTTACAGACAAGCAAATGCTTAGAGATTTTGTCACCACCAGACCTCCCCTACAAAAGATCCTGAAGGAAGCACTAAACATGGAAAGGAACAACCGGTACCAGCCATTGCAAAAATATGCCAAAATGTAAAGACCATTGAGGCTAGGAAGAAACTGCATCAACTAACAAGCAAAATAACCAGCTAATATCATAATGACAGGATCAAGTTCACACATAACAATAGTAACCTTAAATGTAAATGGACTAAATGCTCCAATTAAAAGACACAGACTGGCAAATTGGATAAAGAGTCAAGACCCATCAGTTTGCTGTATTCAGGAGACCCATCTCACACGCAGAGACATACATAGGCTCAAAATAAAGGGATGGAGGAAGATCTACCAAGCAAATGGAAAACGGAAAAAAGCAGTGGTTGCAATCCTAGTCTCTGATAAAACAGACTTCAAACCATCAAAGATTAAAAGAGACAAAGATGGTCATTACATAATCGTAAAGGGATCAATTCATCAGGAAGAGCTAACTATCCTAAATATATACGCACCCAATACTGGAGCACCCAGATTCATAAAGCAAGTCCTTAGAGACTAACAAAGAGACTTAGACTCCCATACAATAACAACAGGAGACTTTAACACCCTGCTGTCAACATTAGACAGATCAACGAGACAGAAAGTTAACAAGGATATCCAGGAATTGAACTCAACTCTGCACCAAGGGGACCTAATATACATCTACAGAACTCTCCACCCCAAATCAACAGAATATACATTCTTCTCAGCACCACATCACACTTATTCCAAAATTGACCACGTAGTTAGAAGTAAAGCACTCCTCAGCAAATGTAAAAGAACAGAAATTATAACAAACTGTCTCTCAGACCACAGTGCAAATAAACTAGAACTCAGGACTAAGAAACTCAATCAAAACCGCTCAACTAAATGGAAACTGAACAACCTGCTCCTGAATGACTACTGGGTACATAACGAAATGAAGGCAGAAATAAAGATGTTCTTTGAAACCAATAAAAACAAAGACACAACATACCAGAATCTCTGGGACACATTTAAAGCAGTGTGTAGAGGGAAATTTATAGCACTAAATGCCCACAAGAGAAAGCTGGAAAGATCTAAAATCGACACCCTAACATCACAATTAAAAGAACTAGAGAAGCAAGAGCAAACACATTCAAAAGCTGGC